TCTTTCTTTCTTTCTTTCTTTCTTTCTTTCTTTCTTTCTTTCTTTCTCCATATTCCTTTCTTAGTTCATCAATAGATAGAGCCATTGTAAACCTTTCTTCTTCTTTCCCCCCCCTCTTCTTCTTCTTAGAACAACCAAGATGTTTCAAAACTTAAAAAACAGTTCCCCAAAGTCCCAGAGTCATTAAGCATCCAAACAGAGCAGAAAGTTCTTCCCTTTACACTTTCTCTTCCTGGGGTAATATCAGTTAAGAAAGAAAAAAAGAACCCAGTCTGTACTTTAAAGCCTTATTGCAATTAGCTTCTAGTCTCAAAATCTTCAAGGCATCTCCTCCAACAAAATCTTTATACAGGGTTTTTTTTTTGGTCATCTCCCTTCCCACTTATAACAAAGAGCTTTAAATTTTACCTTCTTTAGAAAAGCAGATTTTTCAATGTCCCTTTGTTAAGTCCGTAGGGAAGGAGAGTAAACTTTCCCTTTCAGCACTATTCGCCGCTTTTAGAATCTCCTCTGGAAACAATGTATCATTCAAAAGAAACGTAGTTTTCAGGATATTAGATATATCTTAAAGTCCCGGTGGCCAAAAAACTTTCACTTTAAAACTTTCCAAACTTTCTCCTTCTTCCTCCTGCACATTCTTATCCAGTTGCCGGCTTCTTTGTGGTGGCCATTACTGACCGCCGCTCCACCGCCTTGAGAAAAGGGGGTTTTGCCGGGTGGGGAGGGGGTCTGCGAGACCCCCAAACCCCTATTCGGATCCCCCTATCTTCAGCTGCCTCTAGGTGGCAGCCTTATCCTCCAGACCCGTCAGGATCGGAGGCACCAAGACGGCTAGCGCGACAGGGATCGCGCTGGATCGCGAATCCCTGCCGCCACCGAACCCTGGCAAACCGGAAGTCTTAAGATTGAGAGCATCTTGGCAACGTTTTGACGGGGTCCCACTCGCCATCTTCAGTCTGGTGCTTTCGGCTTCTTGCTTGCACAAGACCTGCATACCTGTACCCATGAAAATCTACGAAAACATATATATATATATGAACAAAATTGGAAAAGTGAAGAGATTCCTACTGATAAGAGCATGATCAGGAAAATATTAGCATATGCAGAAATGAATAAGTTAACACTTGAAATTAAAGAGATGGAAGAAACTGACTATTATATGATATGGGAATTATTTTATCAATGGCTAGAGAATAAATGAAAATTAGAAACAAAAGAAGATTAGTGAAATATAGAAAATATGTTAATAGAATTAAATATATTAAGATGAGGATTTTTATAATAATTAGATGTATTATGTATATCAGTATTAAGTTAAGAATAGAGAATTAATACTAATGTAATGAATAAGGCTGTAAATTTTAATTGTTATTGAACAAGATATTTGTACCCAGACAGCACATTGTTTAATGGAAGATGGATTGTTTGTATTAAAAATAAAATAAACAATTATGCAAAAAGAGAGAGAGAGAAAGAGAGAGATACACACAGAGAGAGATGAGGTGTGTGTGTGAGAGAGAGAGAGAGAGAGAGAAGGAGGGAGAGGGAGAGGGAGGGAGGGAGGGAGAGAGAGAGAGAGGAGATCCTGGTGTTTTATTTTCTGTAAGAAACAGGTCCAAATGCTCTTTGAATGTTTAAGGTTGCAGAAACAGGCTAAGTGCCCGAAGGACCCTATCCTGTCACTGGGAGTCCAGGCGCTTCAACGAGCAGTGCCCTGGATTCATATTAGTCCACAGGATTTAAAATTATTAATTTAGTGGTCCCTGAGGTCTGAAAGGTTGGTGACCCCTGGTATAAACCACTGTAAGTGGTTGTACAAGCCACATTAATAGTGGTGACATTAGCTGCAGTTTCACTGTTTTCAGATTTCTCTATTAGTCTAAAGCAGTGGTTCCCAACCTTTTTTTCACCCCGCACCCCTAAAGAAATTTCACTCGAACCTCGCACCCCCTGGAATAAAATTTCACTCAAACCTCACACCCCCTGGAATAAAAATGCCAACATATAGCCAATATCCTATTATTTACCTGGACTTTTCTCGCACCCCCTGGAATATCGTCTTGCACCCCCAGGGGATGCGAGCACCCCAGGTTGGGAACCCCTGGTCTAAAGGATGGTCCTGGACAGAATGAATGTTGGATCATTTATGCATCTGATAAGTGAATTGAACACATGAGTTATTGATAAACTGCTTTGACATATCATTTGTAGTATGATGCTATGTGACATCAGAGTAAAATGTAATATGCTGATCCTCAAGCTAGAAATTAAGATATAATTTTTTATTTGAATTCCAGGAGCCAGAGGAAATACAGTGCTGTGTGATACAAATATTTCTGACCAGCACCAATCCAGTAAATCCCATACATCATTCCCTGTTGGGTCCCAGGTAAGTTTATCTCATGGAATCTAAGCTTTTCTGAAAGCAGATTTCATACCAACAAAATGTGTTTGTGTGTGTGTGTGTGTGTGTGTGTGTGTGTGTGTGTGTGTGTGTGT